ATAATTTTCCAAATGTTATTTATCTGTTCATTTAATTACTCAACAAATATTTACCAGGTGCCTTTCAAGTGCTGGGGTTTTACAAGGGAAGGAGTTGGCAGCTAGGTCTTCACCCTGTGGAGCTTAAAACTTTAGAATGGAGGAGGCAGACAACAAACAGGCCAACCAATTAAACGAACAAGATAATTTCAGACAGTGATAAGGATGAAGAAGACAATAAATAATACTATAACACTGGTTGAGCATTAATTATGGGCTCTAGGTGCATTTCAAGTTTAAATTCATTTAACTCTCATTACAACTAGGAAGCTCCTGTCCCCATTTTGCAGAAGATAAAAACTGAAGTGCAGAAAGGTTAAATATCTTCCCCCATGTCCCAGAGCTAGTAAGTGAACAATGAGTTCATTCCTAGGAAGCCTGCTCCGGAGTTCATAATCACACACTATACTGCGATCTCACGCCATGATTTATTGCTATTATCAATATAAGACTGAGTAAGGAAGTATAAGGTGCTGAAGCAGAGGGCTGCTTTTCACTGAATGATCAGGAAAGTCCTCTCTGAATCTGATAACAGAAGAGAGAGCCACACACATAAAGATCTGGAAGCTGAACATTCTAAGCAGAGAACAAAAGTCCAGCATGTTTTAGAAACAGAAGGCCATTATGACTGGAGCAGGATAAGTTGGGGAAATGAAAATAAGATGAAGTGAAACAGGTACATATAGACTAGCTTGTACATGATTTGAATTTTATTTTAGGAAAGCACTGAATAGTTTTAGGCAGAAGATTTAAATAATTTGATTTATACTTTATAAAAAGACAATTTTGAGTATGGTGAAAATGAATTGGGTAGGGGAAGAGGGGCAGAGTGAAAGCAGTAGAATGAATATAGGTAGTCTGTCTCCAGTGCTAAACATTTACAGAAGTACCCCCCTTATCCATGAGGGATAGGTTCTAAGACCCCTAATGGATGCCTGAAACCGAGGATAGTACCAAACCCTATATATACTATTTTTCCCATACATACATACTTATGATAAAGTTTAATTTATAAATTAGGCACAGTAAGAGATAAACAATAACTACTAATAAAATGAAACAGTTATAATAATATACTGTAATAAAATATATGTGAATGGCTTTGGGGCCACTATCAAATAAAACAAGGGTTACTTGAGTACAAGCATTGTTACACTGCCACAGTTGATCTGATAATTGAGATGGCTAAGTGAGTAAGGAGCAGGTAGCATATGCAGCAAAGATACACTGGACAAAAGGATGATTCACATCCTGGGTACGAGGAAGCAGATAGCATGAGATTTCATCATGCTACTAAGAACAGTGCCCAATTTAAAACTTAAGAATTGTTTATTTCTGGAACTTTCCATTTAGTATTTCTGGATGGCTACTGAATGTAGGCGTAACTAAAACTGTGGAAATTGAAACCACAGAAAGCAAAACCGTGAATAAGAAGGGACTATGAAAGTGTCATTTGCTACTTAATGATGAATATATGCTCTGAGAAATGCATTATTAAGTGCACTTACACACACCTAGATGGTATAGCCCACTACTGTAATTGTATGTGCTACTTTTATACAACTGACAGCACAATGGGTTTGTTTACACTAGTATCACCACAAACATGAGTAATGTGTTACCACTCCAATGTTACAATAACTACATCATTAGGGAATAGGAATTTTTCAGCTCCATTATAATCTTATGGGACCACTGTTGTATATGTGTTCCAACATTGACTGAAATGTTATGTAGCACATGACTGTATCTAACCTCTTTGCTCTAAATTTAAGGTATAGCAATTCAGGTGAAAGTATAAAGTAGACAGATGGAAACAAGAATCCAAAGTTCAGAAGAATGGGCAAGGCCAAAGATATAAATTTTATTTTGTAACCTCTCACATATGGTAAATATTATTAAAGCCATGGGAATAGATGAGATTACACAAGGAACATAAATATAGTAAACATAAATACAGCATAAATGGAAGAAAAACACAGATTGTAATCTGTGAAGTCTATTCATTCCTCTTTAGAGCTCTTCTTTTCTGCTCACTGTCCAGAGGGTGTCTGTAGCCCTTATCTTCCCACAGGATCTGGGTGAAGAAGATTGGTTCATAATGACAGTCTGGGGTTGCTGTGCAATAAAAGAGCTGCTTCATGCAAGGAGTCATTACCAAACCCACAGATCTCACTAAAGACACAATTATAAGAACATAACATTCCTGAATCCATATTTATAGAAAGTAAGCCATTAATCCAATTATAACCAAGTTTGATATAAATGACCTGTGAAGTTTTATATATTATATATAGATCTTTATACCCTATGCTATTAAGTTAATAGCTAACAGCAAAAATAGCTGTTCTGCTAAAGCCTCATAATAGCTGGCAATATAGCACAAATCCTGCTTAGCACACCTACAACATAAAAATGGCACAACTAAACACAGAGAACACAGAGAGAGGGCATGGAACTTTTAAATACTTTACAAGTCAATTCTTCATACCTCTTCAAGGTAAAATGTCACAAAGGAACTCCTAACTCTATCAAGGACAAATATCCCATTTCCTGGCATAGTTTAGGAATAGTAATTGAAGCCAAGAGAATTCAGTGGTATAAGAAATGCAATATTTGCAGTCTTCCCTTCAACTTCCTCTCATCATTCTTGTTGTTTCTTACCATGTGGAGTTGTAACACTCTTGGCGCTCCACACTATATAAGAGGCTGAGACCAGGTCTTCCTGCTTAGAGCAAAAGTGGTGGATGTGGTGGGGTCATGCTAATCAGCTATTTACTAGGGTGATGACGGTCACAATGAAGAGATGTGTAAAAGACTTCTGCTCTGACAAGTTCGGGAGGGAAGCTATGATTTTTCTTGAGCGTGATGTTAGACTGCTATTGGAGACAAGGTTCTAGAGCTTAAGGGACCACACAGTGCTCCTCTCATCTCAAGATGTTTTCTCTGGCCCAGAATGTTCTCCTTCTCACTGAAATCTCCATCCTTCAAAGCTCGGCTAAAGTCCTGCATCTTTGATAAAGATGCTCATTACTACAACCCACCTGCCATTTTCTAAATTTATACTGGCATCTAACCAAGCAGACAAGAGAAAAATAATTGGTCAAGGTGCTTCCTAATCAAGGGGGAAAAAAATGAAATGGGGGTTTTTAGTTGCTTGCATGTAGTTTTAAACTCTTGAATTTTCATATTATTTTCAATATAAATAGAAGCTCTCCTCAGGTGAACCAGATCTGGATATTTTCAGCTGTGGTCAGCTTCTCTCTGAATCTCACTAGGGTTTGGTGATGCAGAGTAAACAAGGCTATAAATCAAATTGCAATGCATTTAATACCTCAATGCACTGTAAATTGATCTGGAATAGGGGTTAGTTCAAATCGTTTTTAAAGCGAAAGTGGCCCCTTACCCTGAAGGGATGGAATGGAAGTTAAAGATAGCAAATCCAGAGTTATATGGGATTTAGAAGTATGGCTGCTTATTAGAAGTGAGTGCAGGTTTCTTCAGGTGAGATTCTTCAGTTACTTATCAGGATGGAGCCATGGATATTTAAAAACACACATCTTGGGGCCTGGCATTAAATCTGAAATCTGGTGGGCAACCTTTCAAGAAATAAAAGCTACAAACAAAATAGCTTTAGTTCCATTCAGCATGCTGTGGGAAATAGCTAATGGACAAGAATTACTATGACTGGCAAGGCGAGCTGCCAATAAATGAGAGGAGCAGAGACTCAAAACCACCACATACCAGCAACACTTCCTAAGCTTATTTCACTAATTTGTCATTATCTGAAATGAAAGCAAAATGAGGTTGCAGAGCACAGGGGAAGGAACTACTTAAAAGTAAAAGCTATGTTTCTTTTCTATTGGTTAGTTATCTCTGTTTTGAGCAATTATGGTTTACTTCTACCATTTCCTGATATTACATTTTATTTTACTGAAGGCAACATTTTCTCCTTTTCAAATCACAAGCAGAGAGCTATTTCTGGTAGGGAAAATTTTCATTCTGCCTTGTCTTTTTCCACTAGGAAGAAAGGAAGTCTTGTGGTTAAACAGGAGGAAAGTATGGAGTTCTGATATGCCCTACCTCAGAGAGGCCATATTCTCTTCTCACTTGTTTTTTTTTTTCCTAGAAGAAGAAAAACCTAAGTGCTGTATCCCCCATCTTTAACTCTTAAGTCTCAACTCTTTATCATTTTAAACAGACAAACTAAGGGTTAAGTGGGTCAACACTTGTAATCTCTGCGATTGTGGAATGGAATGAAAAACTATCCCATCACAAAGGAAGAATGAAATCACTAAATTGTATAGTTCACATCAGTCCAAAATCCAACTATTAATACTTTAAACTCTATTTCGGATAGATTTTTAGTGTAATGGGTAATGCAGAAGTGTAATGGTTTTCAAGTAATGGAACAGAGCATGGACTCTGGGGCCGGACTACCTGGGTTCAAATTCTATTTCCATAACATACTAGATGTGCAGGTTTAGATACATTAATTTACCCTCTTTATGCATCTTTTTCCTCATCCATAAAAGGAGAATAATATCAGTTGTACATCATAGGTTATTGTGCTGTGCAAAGAGAAAGTGCTATATGAATATTTAGTATTATTAAGTATATTTCAGAAAACTTCTAAAGAACATTGTTATCTCCCTATTCTTAGTTAGTTCAATTAAACAGTTATATGTAAAACCAAATAAAAGTCATCGGTTTTAGGTCACAAAACAACCCTTTTGCTAGTCACATAAGGAAAAAGGATAAAAATGAAATCCTTTCTTCAAAATTAGCTTTAACTGAAAATAAGATTTTACCAATAACATAATCATACACTTGACTTTTAGAGGCAAGACATTCTACTTAAACCTATATGCTTCAATGAAAAACACATTTGACAGACAATAACAACTTATTTTAAAACATTTACATAATTTGAAACATTGCTCTATGAACAAAATACATACTTCTGTGGTGATCTGTTATCAACTTCAGCCTTCAGCCGTAAATTCTCCCTCACTAGGCCACCATTTTCCAATTTTAGTTTTTTATTTGCCTTTAAAAAAATGAAAAATAATTAAGTATAAGCTAAAATAAAAGTGCTTGTGAAATTCACAACATGAGCCACCAGTATTTTTTAGAGTGATAATAGCAGAAAACTGAATGCTGGAACATGGCCTTCAGAAACTTAAAATCACCACAGGGAATGACTTATGAAATTGTGAATAACAACCAAGCATTTTAAATCCATATTCTCCAAGCACTTTGCAAATCTCCTATCCAGGGAAATAAACGGAGCTATGTTAGTTATGAGTCATTAAAGGACTATACTAATGATGATTCTCCCCTACCCCCCTTTTTCACATAAGTGAATATTCTAAGCATGGTAACATTATACAATATGCAATCATTCACAAAACTAACGCTAAGAGTTAAATTCTTGAGCTATAATATTGATTTTTGGTTGCTACTTAACAATAGTTTTTTAGTGGTAACAAATCTAATCTGATTAGATTTGGTTTTTTTCTTCAAAAGGCTTTCCCAAATGCCCTGGCTCACAACTTCTGAGACTCTCAAAATTTAGTTAATATTTTCTAATAAATTCTATGGATCTCGATTAAACAATAAAAAACCCAAGTATGGTTTTCTTTTTTCTAATTCTGACACCTAAAACTTGCTTAACAAAACATTGCTATAAAATCTAGAACAATCATGTCAAACTCATGGCCCACGGGCTGCATGCAAACCACAATGAATATTTTTGTGGCCCAGGCAATATAATGATGCGTAAGAAATGTTTTAATAAAAATTTCATAACTTAATTTTTATAATATCCTGTTACACATAATTATTAATAATAAACTACAATGTTCACTAATGACTGATTACTATAATCGTGTTGCATTCATTTCCTTCACATGCCTTAACACCCAGGCGCACCATTTCCCTCTACTAATACTAGCAGCAAATATTTTAGCAGCCAATTACCATTAGTCTTGTACTGACTTGTTTGATATGTGCAACAGAAAATATTTCGCTTTTGAAGAATAAAAAAATGGGTTTATTTGTTTTATGCTTATTAATTTGTGCAGTTATTCAGTGTCTGGTAAGTTAATGTTCAAGAAAAAATATTAATTTATTAAAATGTTCTATTATTTTATGTTAAAGATTACTCATTTACTTCAGCCCTTTGTATTCAGCATGTCTCTATCGAAATAACCCTACATTTCTATGAAAATTAAAGCTTTTGTGGTTTTGCGGCCCACATAAACTTAAACCTTGTTTATTTGGCCTGTGTTAGCCTTTGAGTTTGACATGCTTGATGTAGAGGCCCGATATTGATTCTGGACAGCCTAAAAAGAAATGTGCCTAGATTACAGAGGTTCCTTAAAAGTTACTCCTGTAAATTCCCTAGTCATTGCATTTATTAATTCCATAGAAAAATAAAACTCTGTGGAGTAGAAACCAACCTCATGAACCTGGCAGGAAAAAGTCTTTGTTAGACTAGAACCTTCACATTCAAAATGAACAGGTCATAAGAACTGTTGTCAACAAAAAGGTTTAAACTAGGAAGACTTAAAAACAGATTTCAAAAATTTGACCAATGTTTTTTTTTACCAGTTTCCAGAACTTCTGACTATATTACTTGCCTATCCACAGACAAATAAATACCCTAAGAGCATGATAAGAGAAGCAAGGCAGAGAATAAGGCACAAGCCTAACTCTCTTAGATTCATCCAGGTTCCTTTTGGGCTCTGAACAACTGCTAGTCTTTATGGCTGTAAAACAACAAGGACTGTGGAGGGTTAATTCTTTAAGTGACTGATAAACACCATTACTGCCTCTCTGAAGATATAAGGAAAGTCATTTACTTCCTCATAGACACAGACAATGAATTAAGCTTTCAAGCACAGGACCATAAGAGGAGGAGGCACTTAGTGAATGCTTTTTGATGATGTTGATAAGCTTAAATTAGAAACTCACTTGAGATTTCTTTTCTCCATCCCCTCTGTATTGTATCATTATATTTTAAGATCTCTTGCCAGCCTATGGCTCTCTTTATGGGCTGGCTAGTTCCTCAAAAAATCAGGAGATATTTTCAAGTTCAGAAGGGTTAGGAGGGTAAAGATTACACAGGGTGAAGTTTTCCTATTTTTTGCATCTAAGAGAGTAATGAAATCTTCAGCTATTTTGTATTCTCAACACTGACTGGGTAGTGAAACTAGCCTCATAAAAGTTCAAAACTCACCCTGTCCTAAAAAAAAAAAAAAAAAAAAAAAAAGGCATTTTCACTCATTTTAAATAGTCTTTTATTCTGAATCTTTTGTACCCTTGCTTTTGATTTATAGTACATAATTTTATACTTCATATTCAAGTTTTTCCCCTGTAGTCCACGTTTTTAGATTCATTTATGCTCCAGGTTATTGCCTAGTACTACCTAATACCATCCAAAATTGGCTTACTAAATAACCCACATAATTCTGAGGTCTCAGGATAGCTTTGAGTATTGAATTAACATGTGGTCTTTAAAAAGCAAAGAAAAACTGTGTTTTATGTAAATTTCTTTTACATACATCCCCTACACCAAGCTTAGAAGCCCCGAGTAAACTTCATACCAAGCTTCATATTCTAAGAAACACTGATTGCCAAAAACTTAAATAAAGTTTAATAAATATAAATGAGATCATACAGAACTTACTGATGGCTCAAGAAGAGGAAAGGAAGTTAAAGGAGACATGGTAGATTGATAAATAGTGTAACTTCCCAGTTGTCTTTCCTTTTTGTGTCCTCTCGTTAGACACAAAATCAACATGCTATCAATATTAGCTATCAATTCCAAAGAAAATGCACATTTCTCCTAAACTTACAATAAACTCAGTGCCATTATGTAGTAGTTTATTTTATTTTTTCTGTAAAAGCATTGGGTTCTCTTCTTTCTCTTATTTGGGCCCAAATAAAATTCGTGTGTGTGTGTGTGTGTGTGTGTGTGTGTGTGTGTGAAAATAGCTTAGTATTTACACTAAGCTGCAGATATTTTTCTGCTACTTAACCTCACTAAGGATCTGAGGATGAGGTACTACTTTAAAATATCATATAGAGCCCATTAATGATTTTAAGAAGTGGAATTTGGTAAGTCAACATAGTAATAGTGTTTTAAGGGAATGTAGATATTTTACATGGGTGGTTATGGGTGTGGGCATCACAAAACCATCTTCAATTAGCACAAAGGACTTCACTGTGGATAAACTTAAAATCAAGCTAAAGGATGGTCCTTTGGCCAACAAAGCTCAACAGCACTTGATTATAACCTCCAGTGATGATTGCATGCATCTCATCTCCTTTCCTAGACTGGAAAATCTTAGAGGCTTGGCTTTTTCACCTATGCTTTTTCTATCTTGTTGGATGGATGGAATAATTTGAAAAAAATGAACCTGCGTCATAAGGCACAATATTCTTTTGCATAAAGTAGTCTAAAGAGGCTACCCAGAGCTCTCTTGATGTTAGTCATTATGTCTTTAACTATTTACAATATTAAATATCAGAGAATGGTAGTGCTAGAAAAGATATAATCCAAGTCTTTCATTTAATAGGTAAGGAAATGGATATGTGTTTGTTTTTATGCATACAGGGCAGTCACTGACATAAGCTTTAAAAAAGTTAAGGTAAACCACAAAGAGGGGAAATAGAAACACATCCTTTAAATTGATGGCATTCTCCTACAAGAAGATGCAAACTCATATAAAAGCACTAGAGTCTCCAATTATAGGCACAAATGGAACCACCTTATATTTCTTGGCAGCTAATGACATTTTAGGAGAAAAAGTTTTCCTATTCCTTATTAATGCTCATTCAGGAATTTCTGTCCTTTCCCCACAAACCATCTAATGATGAGTCAAGATAATATGGCTATTTATACTTCTGAAGGTATTTACAATATTATAGAATTTAAACAAAAACTATAATAAAAATTTAAAAGCTACATATATTAAATTTTTTTAAAAATCACAACTTACCTCCTTTAACTTATCCACATCATCTTTCACTTTTTCATAGATTTCATTAGCTGTTCTAAGCTTTTTCTTCCACTCTGCTACAGTTTCTGGGTCAACTTTACTTGAATTATCTTCAACTGGATGTTTGTCTTCATTTTGATTGCCCTGCATCAAGGTTAAAGGATCTAGAATAGTCTTGATCTGTGACTCCAAGCTGAGATTTTTATTCTTAAGCTCTTCTACCTCTTTCTGCAGACAATCTATTTCATCCTGAAAAAGCATTGCATAGCCATTAGGTAGACACAAACACTAAGCAGATACATATACTAACCAAAGATTTTTACATTTTATACTCAGAATTCTGTAGATACAAAAATTCTTTATGTATCAGAATAGTTTTGGATGTAGAAAATTACAGCTGAAATTCTCAAAATGTATTTCGACTTAGATAAAAATTGGCATTCTCATAAAAAAACAACTGGTATTTCCACTGGTTTCATTTAGATTCAATGATAGTTTGTGGTTTTAAAAAATAAAAATGTCAAATCTTTTATTCTATTTAAGATATCCAGGAAACATGAATTCAACAAGGAAATAGATTCCTCAGAATTCTAAGGCATGTTTAATTGTTTTACTAAGGAAAATTTAAAAAAAATATATAGTATTGATGTAGGTAATCTATTATGGTTTTGTTTGACGATTATATTTTTGCTTATGTATTTGAAATAGGAGCTGAAATCATAAGCTATTTCCTCCCACTTTCCATTTCAGAATAATATCTGTAATTAATTTTTATTTTCTACATTCTGGTTCTTCAATAACTACTGTGACTAAGTATTAGATTTCAACATCTGGAACTGCTTATAATCTTAAATCCAATTGTTAAACATTTAAACTAGAACTCTTTTCTGTAATACCATTTATTCATCTACAACAGGTATCCTTTCTTAAACTAAGACCATGAGAAATTCTACTGTTAGAAAATAAACTCCAAGTAGCTCAATAGGCCAATGATCTAAAGGATTGATTTAATGAGTACCTAAGTATAATAAATATTCATTATGTATGTGAGAATACATTTTAGAATTAATACATTACTATTTACTATTTTAAATCACAATACATTACATGTTAAATAGATTATAAAATAAGAAAATCACTGTTTGAATTGATATATTAATGAATAAACAAATGTAAGCAGAAATACACATATATGAATGAACATACCAGTGAATTTATTGGAAGAAACAAAACAAAAACAGAATGAGGACTACAGTCATCAATTGCCAGAGCATGCATAATGCTTTGTGGGGGTTGAAAGACTGACTTTCATAAAAGGGTTTCTTTTATTTCCCAATTTCTTGAGAGAGCAAATACTTAGAAAATGATGTATATGTTGAGGACAGATTTTAAATTAAAACAAAGGAAAAAAAGGAAATGCTTCTATCTATTCCTTTCCTCCATTTGAAATAGGAAAGGAAAAAAGAACTCATCGAATAAGACGTTTTAAAATTGGCATTTAAATTAGATTTCATTGGATGTTTACTCTAAGAAGTCCAGGGTCTGAGATAGCTCAGTTTTACCTTGAATTCAATGCTATCATCATTTTAAATTTTAATTATCATTTACCTCATATTCTTTGTGGAGTAACTCAAGTCTAGTTTTCCGAAGGTGCTTCCGGACTGTATGGCTTAGCATAGGTTCACTTTCACTTGTCCCTCCTATGTGAAGAGAAAAAAAAAACATACCTAACTTTTCACTCTAATTTGGGCAGAATGAAAATGAGCCTTTTTCTTATTGTTTTATATAGTTTCCTAGCTTAATTTTTACTTATATACATATTTGGGGCTGCCATCTTGGCCTTTTCTCTATCTCAAACTGGAGAAAAGATAATTATCAAATAATACCTTAAGAGGGAAACAAGATGGCAGTGTAGGTAAATACCAATACTTGCTGCCTCCTGCAACCACATGAAAATTACCACTAAAATACAGAACAACCATCATTCAGAATGGAAGTTCTGCAACTAGAGAAGTAAAGAAAGTGTATTGAGACAAGTCCAGGAGACATACCAGATCTACCTAATACATAGAAATAAACACAGGAAAGTAGCTAAAATGTGGAGACGAAGAAACATGTCACAAATGAAAGAAATAGAAGCAAGCAAACTACCAGATACAGAGTTCAAAATAATGGTTATAAGATTGCTCAAGGATCTTAATGAGAGCTTCAAGGGACTTAGTGAAACTTACAACAATCTTAATGAGAATTTCAAACGCATGAAAAAGGACCAGTCAGAAATTAAGCATATACTAATGGAAATAAAGAATAATTTACAGGGATTCAACAGTAAAGTAGAAGATGCTAAGAATCAAATCAAGGATTTAGAATACGAGGAAACAAAAAACACCCAATCAAAAGAGCAAAAAAGAAAAAGAATCCAAAAATATGGAGATAGTATAAAGAGCCTCTGGGACAGCTTCAAGCGTACCAACATACACATTATGGGGGTGCCAGAAGAAAGAGAGCAAGATATTAAAATCTGTTTGAAGAAATAATGACAGAAAACATCCCCTATCTGGTTAAAGAAACAGAATTACAAGTCCAGGAAGTGCAGAGTCCCACACAGGCCCACACCAAGACACATCATAATTAAAATGCCAAAAGTTACAGACAAAGAGAATCTTAAAAGCAGTTAGCTACCTCTAAGGGAGCACTCTGTTGACTGTCAGCTGATTTCTCAACAGAAACTTTGCAGGCCAAAAGGAGTGGCAAGAAATATTCAAAGTGATGAACAGCAAGGATCTACAGCCAAGATTACTCTACCCAGCAAAGCTATCATTTAGAAATGAAGGCCAGATAAAGAGCTTCATAGATAGGAAAAAGCTAAAGGAGTTCAGCACCACCAAACTAGCATTATATGAAATGTTGAAGGGTATTCATTAAGAAGAGAATAAGAAGAAGAAGAGGAGGAGGAAGAGATAAAAATATGAACAATAAAATGGCAATAAATTCATATCTATCAACAATTGAATCTAAAAATAAAAAAATATATATATAATAAACAAAATAAACTAATTAATAAAATAGAAACATGGAACAGACTGAAGAATCTCAGAGAAAAGGGGTGAGGTGGGGGGCAGGAAGAGATCCATCAAAGATCTTATATGCATATATGCATTACCTACGGACATAGAAAATAGGGTGGTAATGGCCTAGGGTGGGGTGAAAACTAGGTGGAGGGGGGCAATGGGGATAAAAAGGGGAACATCTGTAATATTCTCAACACTAAAGGTTTAAAAAAAAGTTAAATGCAAAAAAAAAGTAAGAAAAAAACTTCAGTTGAGTTCATTTATCTGTGTATCTTATTATAGTAAACTCATTAAAGGTAAATGCTATATATTATTAATTATCACATTTGGACTACCAGACAATTCTTAAATAATGATAAAATCAATGATTATTCTTATATTTAACCAATAAATTATATAAATAATGTTATCTATATACTTAATATATAATTATCCATATATTATCCATATATCATAATATATAATACACATACATTATATTGTATATTATATAGTCAATTTATTCATTCCAACATACCTAATCACTGGTAACACCCTAAAAAGATTAATGTGCCATTTCACTGATTTTAACAACCTAGTTACAATGTATTATAAATCATAGCATTATTGTATGCCAATAATGACTCGTTACAAATACATCCTAAATGAATTCTTCCCAAGAGCTTTTCACTTAAGCTGTGGTTACCTTCTTTGTTTTTCTTAGCATCATGATAGTAAAGGCATTTTACAGATGCTCTTTATCAGGATATTCTATCCAAAGGCTATAGATGAACTATTTTATTTGAGAGAATTTATGAAATATTTCTTACATATGAATGAAAGAAGCCAGGAGAAGAGACATGAAGAGAAGCTGCTAGAAAAAAAACATTTAAATTATTTTAATAATCTAACCTCATATTTTGCAAGAAAAAAAATTGACTCCTTGGTGAAGTTCAGTACAGGAAAAAAACTAGTGGCAGAGAGGTTAATACTATAGCATGCAGCACAGCAGAGAAATATTCCTCTGTCTTCACCCAGGTACCTAAGGAAAAAACCTTGATATCTTCTTTTCCATTTCCATTGCAAAAATTTTATTCAAGTCTATTTTCACTAATTTGGGACTAACACAATGACTTCTTAAGGTTTCTGAAAGGTGTCTCCCACACAAAGCTAATGATATATACACTTTCAATTTTTCCTGAAGCAAAAACAAACAAAAATCATTTTAATTTCTACAATCTAACAGAAATAACTTATATGAGCAGAATAAAAATCCAACTCTTTAAATGTTTTATTTTTCAAGGATCTTCTAGTTCAAATTTTTTGTTTGTTTGTTTTTAAATATGTTTTATTGACTTTTTTATAGAGAGGAAGGGAGAGGATTAGAGTTAGAAACATCGACCAGCTGCCTCCTTCACACCCCCTATTGGGGATGTGCCCACAAACCAAGGTACATGCCCGTGACCAGAATCGAACCTGGGATTCTTCAGTCTGCAGGCTGATATTATATCCACTGATCCAAACTGTCTAGGGCTTGTAGTTCAAGTTTTATCCTCCCTCTTACCTGCACTAGTACAGTAATGAATGTGTTTTTGCACGCTTAATCCAGATTCACATTTTCCCTCACCTGGGCAAGAACCTCCTACCTGACCATCTCACATTCTGTCTCTCCTCTACAGCCCAACCGACACAATCACTTGAGTAGCCTTCCTCAAGCACTTGGATCATGCAACTTCTTTGCTCAAAACCATCATATATACCTCACCCTTCTTCTTACCCAGAGAGCAAGTTACCTACTTAATTTGTCACTAAATTCTCAATTTACCTTTATAGTCTTATTTCAGTAGTCAATCCCAAACTACTGTTAATTTTCAAAAACATGCTTTTTGTTTTCCTACCTTTAAACTTTAGTTCATGCTATTCCCTCTGAATAAAATACCTTCCCTAATCTTTGTCAGGTGAAACTTTATCAATCCTTAAATCCCAACATAAAGGCCACCTGCTTCTTGAAGCCTTTCTCAACGTTGCTACGTGAACTTTTCTTGCCTGAACACTCCAGGCCTTTTCCTGGCTTTCTCATGTGCTGCTTTAAACTATTAATATTTTGGTCTACATGCGCAGCCCCTATCAGAATGTAAGTTCCATGGAGTTCTAAGATTTCTTATAATGTTTTGTGTTCCTCAGTTGCTCCACTTATAGATTATACAAATGACCAATCTATTCAATATGATATTGGCAAAATAACATCATTGAAAGTTGTCTATTTTGGTCTTCCTCCAAATAGACACTACTTAGAGATTGTTTCAAATCCATTTCTATGTGCTCAGAAAATAGGCCCTTACCGATAATCTCTTTGCAAGGATTTTCAGGAGTGATGGGGACTCTGCAAGCTGGACACTGGCTATTATTCTTCAACCACAAATCGATACAAATTGAACAAAACACATGATTGTTGATGCATATGACAGGCTGGCGTACCTTTGAAAAAAAAAAAAAGAAACATTACTTTTAGTACAGGGCAATAGTCATAACTAGAATCCCAATAGATTTAGTTAAGAGCAAACAAATTGCTTCTCTAGAGTATAGCAGTGTAGCTACTTCTGTTACCACATTGTTTCTTATCTATGTTTAACAGAGATACTAGCTGAGATATTTGAAACATCTGACATATAGGGTGGGTCAAAAGTATGCTTACAGTTGTTCATTTGGAAAATATAATAATTAATAAATAATAATATAAGAATAAACTGTGAGTCTCATACTCACAATTGTAAACCTACTTTTGTCCTATTCTGTATTATGAAATGGTTTTATTTTATTCCAAATCATACTCATGTCCAAAAAGAAAATGAATTTTGTTCCACTAAAGGCTGTGACAATTTTCCTTCAACTATTCTATTTTAGAATTTTGAAATGAGGAATAGAAGGTTCTTTAAAGATCATTAAGTCCAAGCACCCATCTGATACTTGAATACTTCTCTCAATTGATTCTACTATATTAGAGAGCAACAGCAACCAACAATTAAGCATTGGCATCTTACTGGAAAGTCTCACAAACCAGAGACATGAAAGCTAAAACAACCTTAAAAGGCATGAATACTGCTCTCAGGTGGCTTATAACCTAAACAGCAAATAAGATGACAGATATTGGCATACATCTAATACACAAATCTATGACTCAATTTAAACAAATACACATAATAATTCTTTACATTTATACAGTCATATATTTTACAAAGGGCTTTCACATATATTTTCTCTTTCTCTTTTTGTTTTGCTTTGTTTTAAACAACCCTGTGAGGTAAAGAGTAAATATACTTTACAGATAAGGAAACCCATGTGGTTTGCTCAGGGTTAACTAGGTGTTTCGGCTGTGTTTAATTGTTTTATCAGAGGGAAAATAAACAGAAAAGTTGCTTTTGTTATACCTGACATCATGCTTTGATTGTTCACATATTTATTATTTATCTCCCCAGAGGGAAGATAAAAGAGAGAAACTGCTTTAGTTTTTCTGCCTGATATTACATGTTTGTTTATATATTTATAATCTATCTGACCTTTTAGAATGGAGGCTCCACCAGAGCAAGAACTTTCTTAGTTTCATTCGTTCCCAAATCCCTACTGCTTAAAAGACAGCCTAATACACAGTAGGTACTCAACAAAGGTTTTGATGGATGAAGTAATTGCTATTAAGACAGTATTTAGCATTAAATTCAAGTTGGGAACTTGAGAGAGGGAATAATGACTTAATATTCTTCAACACAAATTTAACAATAAAAACAAAAAAGAAATGCTTAGATTTTCATTTGATTTACATGGCACTTTTACTGCAGGACTCAAAACACTTTATAGTCATTTTCAATATTTTCTTGTTCTAATATTAACAATACTATTGTAGAGTACTCCAGTATTAGAGACCGGAGATCAAGGAAAAACAGAGGAAGTAGAGAAAGAAAGAAGAGACAGACCACCACAAACCACTTTCCACAGAGAAATTTCTTGTCTACCTCAATATATAAATATTCAGAATATGAGTGTCAATTTTAAAGGGGTCCGTATCCTAAGAGAATTCACAGATGTATGGTGATCTGTGCCAGGCAGGAAATCAATTGAAGTCTCACTACAAAGTGCTTTCTGGATCTAGTTTGGCTTCCAAAATTTAGATATTCCCTTATTATGAACACCAGTATAAGAAAACTAAAGAGCCGAAACTGGTTTGGCTCAGTGGATAGAACGTGGGCTTACGGATTAAAGGGTCCTGGGATCAATTCCGGTCAAGGGCATGTACCTTGGTTTCGGGCACATCTCCAGTGGGGGGTGTGCAGGAGGCAGCTGATAGATGATTCTCTCTCATCGATGTTTCTAACTCTCTATCCCTCTCTCTTCCTCTCTGTAAAAAATCAATAAAGTATATATATAAAAAAAGAAAACTAAAGAGAAGATCTTCAGCATGAATTTAAGCTTCCTCTTGGAGAAACCAATTCTAATTCATTTAGTTCAACTGATTTGATTGGACTAATTAAATTAAATAAATGACCATAAAGCACTCATACTCTTCCATCAGAATACTCTACCAGCAGCCCTTGCTTATCTGGGAGTGAGTGTGGTGCTGTGATTTATTAGAAATATATATTTTTGGTCATTCAGATAACCTAAATATATTTCTCAGATATTTGATCTTCATCCATAGCTCCTGGCCCACAGCTCCCAAACCCCTAGGAATTTTAACAAATTTTAAAAGATGTTTCTTGTTATGTTAATGAGGTGATTTTGAACCAAAGGTGGGGGCTGGTTGCTGGTAGGAGGAGCCAATTTTGAGGACAGAGGAATGGAACTTTTAGTCCTATCCCCTAGTATGCTTTTACTATGTTTGTACTATGGTCAGTATTTTCCATAGAGGGGAAAGGACTTGAGGCTGGTAAGTCAACAATTGCCAATGACTCAGTCAATCATGACTAGTAATTTAGCCTCCATATAACCCCAAAAGGACAGATGGAAGGAGACTTGACTTGAGGTAGTGAACACACTATACAATATACAAAAGATGTGTTACAGAATTATACACCTGAAACCTACGTAATTTTATAATTTTATTAACCAATGTCACCCCAATAAATTCAATTAAAATACCCCAAAGAACGGCCTGTCAGCCCTTTTTCAGAGAACCAGAGCGCTTCCACATGACACCATGACAGGTCCCATGCCCCCAGAAGACAGACAGAAGCTGCTTTGGTTCAGACCTCAGCCTGTATATCTCTTCAACTGGCCATTGATTTATATCCTTTAATATCCCTTATAATAAATCGATAATCTAGCAGGGAAAAGTGTTTTCTTGAGTTCTGTGAGCTATTCTAGCAGATTAATCAAACACATGAAGGGGGTCATGGGAAGCTCTGTCCAAAGTACTGGTAACATTCTGTACTTGTGACTGGCTTGTGAAGAAGTGGAAGGCAATCTTTCTTTACCCATGAGAGAGGGATCTATCTGATCCACAGATAGCAAAGATCCTAAAAAATAAGCATTTTTAAAAAATATATATTTTATTGATTTTTTACAGAGAGGAAGGGAGAGAGATAGAGAGTCAGAAATGTCGATGAGAGAGAAACATCGACCAGCTGCCTCCTGCACACCCCCCATGGGGGATGTGCCCGCAACCAATGTATATGCCCTTAACCGGAATCGAACCCGGGACCTTTCAGTCTGCAGACCGACGCTCTACCACTGAGCCAAACCGGTTTCGGCAGAAGAATTTTATTTTTTAATAAAAATAAAGCACAATAGGGAGACCCAAAGCACAAGGGGGAGATTTTGGCTTATAGGAGTGAGAATCTGTCTTCCTTAGAAAATGGAACACTTAGGGTATGAGAACTAACACAAAACATTTGGATAATCTATGGGTAGAAGATTACAGAACTCATGTTGCAACTGTTCTAATTGCTTATATTTTGTCATTAAATATTAGGTGAGATTAACTGCCGAAAGTGAGAAACGGAGAAGGACATCAACTTGAAAAAACAGAAAAATAAAGCAGTTATTTTTAAAAGTGAGAAAGTAAATTTTCTAGGTACATGTAGCAGGATTGCCAAACACTATGGAGTTCCTATTTGTGGTTTTAACTGTAAAGATGAATTAACATAGGTGTGTATTTTCTTGCCAACTTTTAGCTACTCAGGTTCAGGCAGGAAGTAAATGAGTTGAAGTTTTGCCAAAAAGAGAGAGACAAGGACTGATGATAATAGATGACCATGGTTAATAAAGGAAATGAGTTCTTGAATGGTAAAGACAGTGAAAAAGTGAGAGAATTATAGAGTCAATGGATGGGTCTGGGTAAAGCTGAAATACTGCTAGAGAGTAGGTGTGATGGGAAGAGGATCAGAGACTGAAATGCTTCTAGCCAAAATACTAGAGGTGGTACAGCTACGTTCTCTGTTTTGTCTTGAACCATCTTATGACATAGTCCTATTTCTCTCTTAATCTTATGTATCACGTAGTGTTAACATATTTTCTATGGTGACAACTTCTGAGAATCCTCTGTAACTAGACCCCAGTAAAGTGGCAGAGCTTGAGAAATAAACCCGGGGCTAAGTCCAGTTCTGTCTGAGGTATTTGACCTTGGGTAAGCCCTTTAGTTAAAAGGGGCATCTTTCTGCCTCTGAAATTGTAGTTTAAGCTAAGTATATTTTTCATTCAGGTATTAGCAATACTTCAAACAAAGAAAACAAACCAAAAATAAGGAACGGAAAGGTAACAATATTGCTATATCCATTTGCCCAGAAGACAACTCCATATAAGGTTCTTGTAGCTGCCTCAACCATAATATGTCCAAAACCAAACTTGGCCTCCTTATAATCTCTCCTCCCACACTCCTATCTACAAGGTGAGAAAATTAAATGCTATCTTCCTTGCAATACCTTCACTAATATAGTTCCTCTTACATTCCCTCTTGTCTAAGTTAAGGGGACCATCCCTCCTCTGCTACCACCACTTGGGCTAGAATACTCAGAACTGTCTCTGACTCACTATTTTTACTTCTCCTGAACATCCAATCCAATCTGTCACCAAATCCTGGTATCATTTATCAAGTCTAAGAAGCCAGAGTTTTTAAGATGTATCAATAAGCAAAAGAAAGGAAAAATGCTACTAGTTACTATAAGATACAATCAGGTGGAAAAAAGTACATCTCAGAATAGTTAAAATATACTAAATCTGCCTCTAAATGTTATTTGCCTATCATCTATCCCTTCTTTCCCATCATTACCTTAATAATGAATTCAGGTTCTCATTCTTTACCCTGAACTATTGTAGTAACCCCTTCCCAAGCTTCCTTGCTTCCAAGTGTTCACTTCTGGCCAGTGCTACCTTTTATACGGGTGCCCGTGCTACCTTCCTAAAATATGGATCAGCAACTTTCACTGTTCTTTTGCAAGACAGCAATGTTTTTTTTGTTTGTTTATTTGTTTTGTTTTTTTCTGCTCGTA